CTTAGGAATAAAATTGACCTTTACTGGTGTTATTCCATATAGATATTTTCAATTAAATTTGTGTACATGCTTTGTTTCATTTTTAAAAAGTTTAATAGATAACAGGATGACAAAATCCAAATAGTATAGAAATACATAAAATAGAAAAATAAAGAACCCTAATTTCTACCCCTAGCTAGTCAAACTTGACAGGTAAAATATATTTCAATTTTTAAAAACATTTTTATTTGACAGGGATATAGACAGACAGCAAGAACTCCCATCCATTGGTTCACTCCCCCAAATTCTTTAAATGTCTAAAACTGGGCCAGCACTGAAGCTGGGAACTAGGAACGCAATCCAGGTCCCACTTGGGTTGCAGGTACCAAATTACCTGAGTCATCACTGATGCCTCCCAGGATCTAAATCAGCAGTAAGTTGGAATCAATAGCTGGAATTGGGTATGGAACCCATCGATTTTTTTTTTTTTTTTTTTTTTTTTTTTTTTTTGACAGGCAGAGTGGACAGTGAGAGAGAGAGACAGAGAGAGAAAGGTCTTCCTTTTGCCGTTGGTTCACCCTCCAATGGCCGCCGCTGCAGCCGGCGCACCGCGCTGATCCTGGCAGGAGCCAGGAGCCAGGTGCTTTTCCTGGTCTCCCATGGGGTGCAGGGCCCAAGCACCTGGGCCATCCTCCACTGCACTCCCTGGCCATAGCAGAGAGCTGGCCTGGAAGAGGGGCAACCGGGACAGAATCCGGCGCCCCAACCGGGACTAGAACCCGGTGTGCCGGCGCCGCAAGGTGGAGGATTAGCCTATTGAGCCACGGCGCCGGCCCCATCGATTTTGATATGTGATGCAGGTGTCTTAAGTACCAGGATAAATGCCTATTCCTTTTTAATTTTTTAGTTAAAGTTTTTGTGTTGAAATAATTGTAGATCACATAGTCTTTTCCCATTTTCCTCCAGTGACATCTTGCAAAACAGTAGTACAATAATACAGCTACAATATTGATGCACAAGATTTGGAACATAAACTGATAGATTTTTAAGTGAATTTTGCCTTCTTCTTTGCCAGTGATTCTCAGATGATTGGCAACCTGAGTGTCAGGATGAGGTCATGGGAACATTGCTTCTCTATTGTTTTTCATTTGCATGCATCTGCCTTATTCAATACATGATACCACGATCATTTTCTGTCCTCAGCAATTTTTCATTTTCCCTTTTGGCATATTCCTGTCTACTCCTTTGAAGTCATCAAAACTGGGGAAGAGAAATAAGAGTGAAAATTCCTGAGTGGTTAACATGCACAGAATAGATTGATTATGCTAATGCTTGCCACAGAAAACTCCATACTCTACTTCCATAAGCAAGAGTGAAATTACACCTTCTGATGGCAGTTTGCTTTTCAATAAGTCAGGACTCAGCAGGAAAAGGGAAGTTTTCCCAAGCAAGCACAGATCCCTGTGCATGATAATTATGGGAATGTGGGAGACAAACCTGTCTCTTCTGCCATCATCACTGGGTGAAAGTTTCCCGTTGGGCTTTGGAGTAGAAGAGGCTGGAAAGAAAGATAATTACACAGAGTTGAATAAAAGTGACATCTTGGGATTTTTCTTTGTCATGACATCATTTTATTTTAAATAAAATTTAGAATACAATAATCATATGTAGGTTGACATAATGCTCTTCATTTTATGATTCACTTTGTTTTCTTTTAAAAGTTTTCTCTTTGTTTTGTCTTAGTAAAGGAGAATTTCATTGCACTAAGAAAAGAGGCATTCAGGCATTTGGCCAGCTGATTGCTTGGTGTGCTGTGTAATAGGTACCTGCATAGATGTTTGTTTCATACTCTGGTTTTCCTGTGGCTTCTCTATCTGGGTACACAAATCAGCCCTACAACAGGGGAGCAAGTGACAGACATGAGTAACAAGGACCTGGTGGGGAGTGAAGGTGCTTGTCTCCTTTTAAGTGATGGCTGCAGTTTCATTAGTTCTGGGAGAATGCCTGCTCACGTGTAGTTGTCATATCATCCAGTTTTCAAAAGAAACTGTAAATTGGATTTTGTTTTTAAATTAAAGTGTTTAAAACTCTCATTCTGTCTGTTAGCATCAATGATCCAGTCACTTCTGGACTCAAAAACCTTGGCTTTTTTTTTCCCCCCTTCCTTTTGTCTTTCTTACTATGGGTAGCCCAAACCTGAGTTTCAATTCTTTTTCTCTTGTGATTATTTCCGTTTTTCTTAACCTTCCATGCCATTCCAGCTCCCCCATTCCTAGCCTTCCTCTTGCTATTCTGGTCCAGATCCCCCTACTACCAACCCCAGTTGCTGGAGTATTCTCTAACCAGGCTGATCATCTTTTCTCATACCTCTTTCATCGTCTCTACTCAGAAAAATTCTGTGGGTCCAGCAACGTTCCTGCACAAGTTCTGCTGGAATCCCAAAGTTTCATAGCAGTTTTGACTTAGCTGACTTGTTTTGCCATCTAGTACCCTGGCAAAAGCTACCTGGGGTCTTGTGGAACTTTTTGGAAAATGGATAGATCTTTCCCTATTCCTTGGCTGTGAGACGAGAGGTCCTGGATTCTGTAGCTCCCACCTTCCTTACACCTTCCCCCATACACACACATTTTGATTAGGGCTCTGTTCCCATTTGGGCTGGAAGCCTCATAGCAAGAAGGAAATGGAATAAGGGAAGACTCCAACTGACTCCAACTCTAACTAAGGAATAGGGTCAGAAGGAAGAGGGCTGTTCTGTGCTCTTAAATTCCCAGTGTTCCCCAATTGAGGCTTCTCCATGGCAGCTTTTGGCACAGAGAGGCCTTCTTTTACTACCTCAGAGAGTTTTTTGTTCAACAGATTCTGCTTTCTCTCCCTCCAGCTGAGTCCAGAAATTCTTGCTGTTTTTATGTAAGGCCATCTTGACCACGGATATCTTGAAACCTGATTGCATTGTGTATTCTTTCACTTTGTAGCACACCCAATTGTGCATTTAGATATTTGTGTGATAAAGTTGATCTCTTTAATCAGCTGGAGTGACTTGTTGGTTAATCAGTGAACTTCTACTTTCAGAACACTTACGCTAACTTCTTAAGAAATTACTGATAATTCACTGAATTCAAATTCTCTCTGAACTTTCTCCTTTTTTTTTTTTTTTTTTTTTTGACAGGAAGAGTTAGACAGTGGGAGAGAGAGAGACAGAAAGAAAGGTCTTCCTTTTCCGTTGGTTCACCCCCCAAATGGCCACTATGGCTGGCAGGGCCCAAGCACTTGGGCCATCCTCCACTGCCTTCCTGGGCCACAGCAGAGAGCTAGACTGGAAGAGGAGCAACCAGGACAGAATCCAGCACCCCAACCGGGACTAGAACCCGGGGTGCGGGCACCGCAGGTGGAGGATTAGCCAAGTGAGCCGTGGCACTGGCCTGAACTTTATCCTGAAATAGCACACAGCACCTAGAATTATTTATCTGAATATGTTACTTGCTACTGTTTCACGCAGAGTTCTGTGAAGCAATCTTTGCTGCATGTCCAATAGTTAATATCATGTCTGGTGGGGTAGGCACTCAATGCAGTGGATCAATGGACTCTTCTAATGCTACATCCAGAATCTATCAGGAATCTTAGATTATGTGGCTGTCTTTAATCAAAGCATAAATGTATAATGATGGCTAGGCTCATTTCCTAGCTGCATGGCTCTCAGCATAAGCCTGAGATTCTATCAGGAGCTTCTTATATTCAGTAACCTCCTGAAATGAGTAATATTATTATTGCACCTTATGATGTGACATTGACTTCAGTGATAACCTGGCACATGTATGAATGCAAAGGGCATGGGGTACTTGCTAAGGCTTTCCAATCTAATATAAAAACATTTTAAAATATGTATGTGTTTTATTTTCATCTATTTGAAAGAGAAAGAGTGAATGAATCTTCCATCTGATGGTTCACTCTGCAAATGCCTGAAATGGTCATGGCTGGGTCAGAATGTGCCTATAAGCCCAGAATTCCATCTGGATTTCCTGTGTGGGTGCCAGGGACCCAAGTATTTGGACCATCATTTCAGGACCTCTCAGAACACATTAGCAGAAAGTTGGATTGGAAGTGGAGGGGCTGGGACTCCAGCCAACACTCATATGGAATGTAGGTGCCGCAGCAGCAGCTTAACCTGCCATGTCCCTACATGAAGCATTTTCATCGACAAGAGTAAACTTGGGAAGAGTGAGCTGGGAAGTGAGAAATGAACAATTCAAAATAATAGGTGCTACTTCATAGTTTAATAACCATTTATTAGCTCTTATTTCTCTCCAAAAAATGAAATACATAACTTGGAAGTCATAGTAGACTCTCAATCCTCAGTAAGAATCACTGGCACTTAATTTTTTTTTAGAAACTTTTTATTTAATGCTTATAAATTTCATGAGTACATCTTTAGGAATATGGTGATTCTTCCCACCATACCCACGCTCCCACCCCCACTCCCTCTCCACTTCCTCCTCCCTCTCCCATTCTCAGTCCCATTTTCCATTAAGATTCATTTTCAGTTGACTTTATACACAGAAGACCAACTCAATACTAAGTAAAGATTTTAACTATTTGCATACGCCCACACACAAACACAAAATATAAAGAACTGTTTGAGAACAAGTTTTACAGTTAATTCTCATGGTAAAATTCATTTAGGACAAAGGTCCTGCATGGAGAGTAAGTGTACAGTGACTCCTGCTATTAATTTAACAATTAACACTCTTATGTATAATGTCAGTGATCACCCGAGGCTCTTGCCATGAGCTGCCCAGGCTATGGAAGCCTTTTGAATCCACGGTCTCCGTCACTATTTAGGCAAGGCCATAGGCAAAGTGAAAGTTCTCTCCTCCCTTCAAATAAAGTGCATCCTTCTTTCCACTGGGGTCTCATTCACGGAGTCCCTTCATGTAGGACATTTTTTTTATGTCACTGTATCTTTGCTTTCCATGCCTGAAATGCTGTCATAGCATTTACTTCTCTCACTCTTTCTTTTCTACCAGGTGATGGCTGTGGGCACATTGTGACCTATCAGGACAGTGGCACAATGACGTCTAAGAACTACCCAGGGACTTATCCCAATAACACTGTGTGCGAAAAGACTATCAGAGTCCCAGAGGGGAAGAGACTGATTCTGAGGTTGGGAGACTTGGATATTGAATCCAAGACCTGCGCTTCTGATTACCTTCTCTTCACCAGCTCTTCGGATAAATACGGTAAGAAAAGAGACCTGAATTTTGAGAGCAGGGCAACATTTGAGCTGTGGAGAGAGGGCAAGTAGAGTGGGAGTTAACTGGGAAAATTTGAAGAGAAACTTACTTTGTGTGAATTCCCAGGGTACTTTATATAGATGTATGCATTTGCTTCATAATCTGAAGCAACAAAAAAATTTCTAAGGAGATATTAGCGTTGGATGTGTCTCAGCAGCTTTGTGAGAGCTTCAGTCCTGCTGGGAAGAGAGTTAAATAAATGTGACATTTGGCAAAGATAGCTGTCGTGCATTCAATCATTTGACAAAAATTTATTGGATAGTGACCTTGTGTTCCAGGTTCTCTGTAAAGAACTGGGAAGTAGACGTGACAAAAACAAAGTTGTCATGGAGCTTACATTTGGAGCTGCACGTGGGTGGGGCAGGCAGAAGAGAAACAAATGCATCCATAATATGAGAGTGAGAAGGAAAAATGAGAGATGCTAAAGTGACATTGTGTTTTTTAATGTGCAGTGGGATGGTCAGTGAGATTTCTCCAAAATAGGGGCATTTGAGCCTCAATGAAGTGAGGAGTAGGCTATGAGGTATGACTGGGGTCAGAATCTTCTAGGTAGCAGCAAGTGCAAAGGACAGTTCCTCAAATTAATTTTGAATTTTAGCTTTTTGTGCTTTCCTGTGAGCTGTTAGCATGTTGGAGCCCAAAACTGCCATAGCAGTGACCCTTTAATGTTAAGCCCAGAAAACAGTTTCCGGTTAGGAAATTTGGAAATAAAGACAAAATCCTATATACAGGTTGTTTTGACTTTGGGGATTTTCTAAAAATTCTCCCTGCATGCAACTCCAAAAATGACACAAGTTTTTAGGTAAGCTCCTGTGTGTATGCTGTCTCGTTCTACAGGTGATTTCTCAAATGCACAGCCTTCCTGCCTGTCTCTACCTCCGGCCCCAGGGTTATCTTCTCACACCCATTGCTTCCTCCCACAGGTTAGAATCCCAGAGCAGGATTAGAATCCCTGATAGAGATGAATCTGAGTTCTAAACTTATTTAATCTCCATGGGGAAAGAGTGATCTAAGATTTTTTGTCCCTGGGAATATTATGTCTATTTTAATGATGGCTAAATTACTCTGACAGAGTCAAGGTGATGGTATTTATATTATTGGTTGCAGCTTTTTAACTGGAGTTTGACTCATCATAAAAATAAAATTCCAGGAATGCTTAAGACCCCTGGGAGCACTTATTGTTAAGTTACCACTGGTAATCAAATATTTAACTTATGGAGGTGCTTGTCAGAGTCTTGCCCTAAATAGAGGTTATTGTTCAAGTTCCCAAGGTGGATGAGAGTCAGAGCTACATTGAGAAATGTGAGGACAAGGTCTGCAGGGCCAGAGTCAGCTCTTTCACTGTGGTAACTACAGGGCAGTATCTATCTTGACCAGAAGAGGAGTGGTTAATTGCACCTCCTGACAGAGCAACAGAGTCATCATCTCTGTTGCCTTGGTGATGTGAGAGCAGCTAGGAAGGGGAGGAAGCTTTCCCAAAACAAGCATTGCAGAATGATTGTGGCTTCCCCTCACCAAGGAGCTTCCTCCATCATCCTTGAAGTGTATTCACAAATATACCGAAGGAAGAAAAGCGTGGGATTAGGGGTCAGCGTTATAGCTCAGTGGAATAACCCATTGCCTGCAATGCCAGCATCCCACATGGGAGCATTGGTTTTGAGTCCTGGCTGTTCTGCTTCCCATCCACCTCCCTGGTAATGCACCTGGGAAAACAACAGATGAAGGCTCACGTACTTGGGCCCCTGTCACCTGGATGGATTCCAGGCTTCTGGTTTTGACGTGGCCCAGCCCTGGCAGTTGCAGCCAATTGGGAAGTGAACCAGAGGATGGAAGTTCTCTCTGTCTCCTCCTTTCTCTCTGTATCACTATACCTTTCAAAAAATAAATAAATAAAATAAAATAATCTTTTAAAAAAAGAATTGAGACATTCCTTAAACTAGGTTGCAAAATGATTGTGATTTGCCTCAAGGTGCTGTCCTCTGCAAATTTCTAGGTTCTTGATTTTCAAGACATAGGTTCCTTACTAGGAGTTGGATAATGAATTGCCATTCACTTGTAGCAATGAAACCAAGTAAATTAATATTTCCCTTTAAGGTTTTTTTTAATATAAAGCTGTATTTGTCTTTTATAAACATAATATACATTTGTGTTTTGCTATAGAAAAACATATTCAATACATGTTGTATGCAAGGCACACACTTAGCCCCAAGGTGTATGTTCTAGAACCCTCACAACCACTCATCTAGACAAATATAATTCACTCCTTTCTACAGAGAAATTGAGGCACATGACGATTAGGTAGCATGCTGAAGATCACACAGCCAGTTATGGGGTGGAAGGAAGATTTGTACCTATGTCTTTGTGGCTCCAAGACATCAATTTTTACTGCTCTCTCCTACTTCTACTATATTGAATTATTACCCTTCTTAAATGGACTAGCCCATTATTACATTATATAGCAAGTTTGTCTAAAACACAAAGTGTAAATAAATAATATTTTTGGTTATTTTTTTAATTTATTTTATTTATCCCCCCCCAAAGAAACCTTTTATTAAAGGAATACAGACTTCATGCATTTCATAAGTACAACTTTAGGAATATGGTGATTCTTCCCACCATACCCTCCCTCCTACCCACTCTCTCACCTCTTCTCCTCCTCCCTCTCCCATTCCCAGTCCCATTCTCCAATAAAATCCATTTTTGATTAACTTTATACACAGATGACCAACTCTATACTAAGAAAAGAGTTCAACAATTTGCATGAAAAAAACCCAAAACTTTGGTTGAGGATATTCTTAAGATAAAATATTTAATGATGCTCATAATTTCTCTCCTTTATGTCTACTTTACAGATTTCCATTCACCAAAACCATTAACCAGACCTATATTTCAAGCTAAGTTTGGACCTCTCTTAGGGATACAAAGGAGGAAGAAGCAGAAGTGCTTTGTCTTCCTGTGGCTGTTGTTTAAGGAATGAGTGGTCCTGTATGGCTGTTGTCCCCTCCCTGGGAGGGTACCTCTTCAGCACCAGACCCGGCATAACAGTAGAGATGACCTCAATGCCAGTGCAGGCCCCCAAGATCCACGCTCTGTTACCTGAGCCAGTGGTGGAAGGGCAATCCCCATTAAAATGTGGCAGGGAGGAGGATGTATGTTCTGGAATGACTCCTGTCATTCCAATAGAGGATGGCTTCTAAAAACCATATGTGTGGCTGAAATACCTATATAGTTCTAGCTTACCCAGCATGATATTTTTCTGTTAATCGTTAAAACTCATTGCCAAGGAATTTTAAGGTTCAAAAATTATCAGAATGTTAAATATGGAGTTAATGATTTGAGAAAGAATGTTTCTGGCATTGGTGTTTTCGTATCCAGGGGCTAGTGCTGTGGCATAATCGGTAAAGTCTGCAGTGCAGGCATCCCATGTAGATGCTGGTTCAAATCCCAGCTGCTCCACTTCTAATCCAGCTCCTTGCTAATGTGCCTGGGAAAGCAGTAGAATTCTTAGGCCCCTGCACCCACATATGGGAGACCTGAAAGAAGCTCCTGGCTCCTGGCTTCAGATCGGCCCAGCTCCGGCCATTGCAGCCATTTGGGGAGTGAACCAGCGGATGGAAGACCTCTGTCTGTCTGTCTGTCTCTCTCTCTCTCTCTCTAACTCTGCCTTTCCAATAAATAAATAAATATTTCATAAAGGGGAGTTTGAGGTACAAATGCATATTTTAAAAATTTATTTATTTATTTTTATTAGAAAGGCAGAGTTACAGAGAGAGAGAGAGAGAGAGAGGGAGGGACACAGAGAGAGAGAGAGAGAGAGAGATCTTCCATCTGCTGGTTCACTCCCTAAATGGCTCCAACAGCCAGAGCTAGGTCAATCTGTAGCCAGGGACCAGGAGCTTCCTCCAAGTCTCCCCTGTGGCTGCAGAAGCCCAAGCACTTGGGCCATCCTTCGATGCTTTCCCAGGCACATCAGCAAAGAGCTGGATCAGATATAGAGCTGCTGGATATCAAACTGGCAACAATATGGGATCCCAGCATTGCAGGCAGTAGCTTAACCCACTGTGCCACAATGCTGGCCCCGCCCCCGTATATCTTAACAGAATGATGCCTGACACACAGAAAGCCCTCCGTAAATGTTAGCCACCATCATCACTGCCCCTCCTCCCTCTCCCCACCCTCCCTGATTGTCTCCCATACTGTTTAGTCTTGTTCCAAGATGTTTGTGGGTCCCCTTTTCAATTCCCTGAGCACAGGCTAACACTAAGCGGAGGTTGAGCTGCAGCTTTCCTTCTCCTGGTACATTTCTTTTTTTTTTTTTTTTTTTTTTAGGTTTATTTTATTTATTTAAAAGAGAGTTACAGAGAGAGGTAGAGACAGAGAGGGAGGTCTTTCATTTGCTGGTTCACTCCCCAGATGGCCACAACGGCCGGAACTGCGCTGATCCAAAGCCAGGAGCCAGGAGCTTCTTCCGGATCTCTGACATAGGTGCAGGGGCCCAAGGACTTGGGCCATCTTCCACTGCTTTTCCAGGCCACAGCAGAGAGCTGGATCAGAAATGGAGCAGCCGGGAATTGAACCGGCGCCCATATGGGATGCCGGCACTTCAGGCCAGGGCATTAACCCTCTGCACCACAGCGCAGGCCCCTCTCCTGGTACATTTCTGACTGAATAGTTTGCCCACATCATTCCAAGCAAGGGCCCAGAGCTAGCTCCATATATTTTCTTGATCCAACCTTATGAGAGAAGCCCCCAGTATGTCCAGTTTGGCCTATTTATTTATTTATTTATTTATTTCACTGCTACCGCTAGTCTCTATCTTTTCATCCATTTCTTATTGAAGGAATCTCCTGACTTTGTCCTCTGTCCTCTTGCCAGTCTTCATTCCCTGCAGGCCATCCAAGGTTTTCTTGTTAAATATTATAATAATCTCTTTCCTGATTTCTTCC